GTTCAAATAACACTGATCTATTCGATCCCAAGACGGAAATGGATTCGAATTTCTCTCGCCATGGTTCTTCCTCCGAAGGTGATTTTGGTTTCGCTTTCAATGACAGTAATTTCTCCGACCGTTTGCTCCGGATCGAAATCATGGGTGGGCCTTCGGATTCTAGGTCCGATGGTGAAGGATGTACCAGTATCGCCGATTGGGCTCGTCATCGGAAGAGGAGAAGAGAAGATAACAAGAAGGACAACAATGGTGGTACGAAATATAATCTTAATTTCTTTGATCGGTTTGGAATATCTGAAATTTCGTGATGGGTTTGTATCAAATTTAGGGCTTTTGGTTTTTAGTGTTTAAGAAATGTTATGTGTGTTTTGCAATTTCCAGCTACGGTTTCAGACATTGTGGCATGTGCTGAAGAACAGATTTTAACGGATAATAACCAACCTGATATGGATGATTGTCCTGGTGGTGATAATCTTGAGGATGAAAGAGAGGCAATGGTGGAAGAGACTCTATCAGGTACTTTGAGCAAGTATTGCATTCTAAATCTCTCGAGTGATCGGGTTTTCGTCGAAGTAACTTGTTTGAGGTTTTTTAGGCGATGATGATGCATCTAGTGAGCCAAATTGGGGTATGGATTGTTCTACTGTTGTTAGAGTTAAAGAACTGCATATTAGTTCTCCTATCTTGGCTGCAAAAAMCCCCTTTTTCTATAAGGTATCAACGCTTCTTTTCTTCTATATTCGTAGTGTTTGCTTCTGTTAATCTTGCGCGTAACACTATCCTTTGCTTCCTGTTTTCTTCACCCTGTTTGTAGTTGTTCTCCAATGGAATGAGGGAATCAGAACAGAGACATGTAAGCCTTAGAATTAATTCACAAGGTAACTAAAAGCGTTTGCTTCTTTTGTGTTTTTGTCAATCTCTTCTTATCGGCCCCCAATTATCTGCTACCTTTCTTCTGGTCTCTTCTTGGTTTGGATTTTTTGTTCCTTTTGTATTAATCAATCTTTGGTTTTGATTTGCATTTCTGATATTTTGTATCCATGAAACTTAAAAATGTGCTAAGAGAGTCCATAACATTGGTTTTTCGTGCCTTGATTCTATGTGTATGGCAGAGGAAGGTGCTTTGATGGAGCTTTTAAACTTTATGTATAGCAACTCCCTAACCGTCACAACAGCACCTGCCTTATTAGATGTGCTTATGGCTGCTGACAAGTTTGAGGTTGCTTCCTGCATGAGGTACTGCAGTAGACTTCTTCGCAATATGCCTATGACTCCCGACTCAGCTTTGCTCTATCTCGAGCTTCCCTCCAGTGTTTTAATGGCTGAAGCGGTCCAACCTCTAACCGATGCAGCAAAACATTTTCTTGCATCTCGCTACAAGGATATTACCAAGTAAGACTCCAATGGTTTGAATTGCATTTACTATAGTGTTGTAAATTTTTTGTATTCATGTGTTTTAATCTTGTACAGGTTTCATGAGGAGGTTATGGCCTTACCATTGGCTGGAATCGAGGCGATATTATCGAGCGACGATCTGCAAATTGCTTCTGAAGATGCTGTTTATGATTTTGTGTTGAAATGGGCAAGGGGGCAGTACAGTTCATTGGAAGATCGTAGAGAGATTCTGGGTTCACGCCTTGCTCTCTACATCCGCTTCCCATACATGACGTGTAGAAAACTGAAAAAGGTACTAACTTGTAGCGATTTTGAGCATGAAGTAGCATCAAAGCAAGTATTAGAAGCGCTCTTCTTCAAAGCAGAAGCCCCGCACAGGCAACGAATCCTAGCTGCAGAAGGATCAGACTCCATGAACCGCCGTTTCATAGAGAGGGCTTACAAATACAGGCCTGTAAAAGTCGTAGAGTTTGAGCTTCCTCGCCCGCAATGTGTAGTGTACCTGGACTTGAAGCGAGAGGAATGCGCAGGATTATTCCCTTCGGGAAGAGTCTATTCTCAGGCCTTTCACTTAGGAGGTCAAGGGTTCTTCCTATCGGCGCACTGCAACATGGACCAGCAAAGCTCGTTCCACTGCTTTGGGCTTTTCCTCGGGATGCAAGAGAAAGGAGCTGTGAGTTTTGGCGTAGACTACGAATTCGCGGTTAGACAGAAACCAGAACAGGATTTCACAAGCAAATACAAAGGGAACTACACGTTCACTGGCGGGAAAGCGGTTGGTTACAGAAACCTTTTTGGGACTCCTTGGACTTCTTTTATCGCTGATGACAGTCAATTCTTCATCAATGGCATTCTCCATCTCCGAGCCGAGCTCACCATTAAACGATCCTCAGACTTTCACTGATCAGTGTCTCTCTCTCGTTCCGTCGATCTCCATACACATATATATTATGGTATCTCTTTATGTAGCATCAGCTCTAACCACGAGTGTGTTTTGTACTTGCCTAAGGAGCAGTAAAAGTAAGGTTGAAAGAGTGTTAAACCTCCACTATGTAAATCTCTGTGATTGGAGTTTTAAACTTCTACATATTTGCTCTCTAATCTATCTATCTATAATAATATTTTAAGCTTCACTTAGAAGCTTTGAGAGCCGGGCGGCCGTGTGTCATTTTTGGTGTTAACAAT